GATTCGCCTCAAACCAGTTTTTCTATTCGGGGAATAAGAGATATCCCTCGAACTATCGGCGAGCTCAACTGCACTCAATCCTTGGCGTTGTCATCAGCAGACCACTTGGCTCTATCGCACTAATGCTCCCAACTGCATTCCACTTTTATTTATCAAAAATACACTGGAGACACACCGATGTGGATTTGTTAAGCATCGGGGGAGATGAAGACATTATGGAGGTGGCGAAGAATCAGAAATCTGTTGAAACGAGTGGAAAGTTCAGTTTTTGTTGAGACTCGCAAATGGACGCTGTTTCAACAGAAGGTGTGTGCAAATGGATGCTGGTGGTCGGGTGGTCAATTGCGTGGATGCCTGACTCTAGTTTGCCACGTGGTTTTGCTAACATTAACGTTTAAGGAATGAGGCGCCAATGAGGCTGCAACATGGTCGTGGGTTTTTATCCCTTTCATAAAATAACTCGGATGTCAACTGCCTACTAAAATTGCTCCATTTTAGTAGGTACTGGGAACCCGCGGTTTGATAACATCGCTTTCCACGCTTCCCATTCAATAAATGATCTCTTAATCCTCCTCTCCAGACATGCGACTAAAATGTTTCCACGAGGATAACTTCGTCCGTCAAAATGCAAATTTAACTGTCGTAATAGACTGCGACTTGGGCTGCACTTGTACAACGCTGAAACAGAGGCAGAGGAGGCATCTTAGTGCCGAGGTTTCGACCGCTAAAATATGCCCTTCCCAGTAATTCGGGTGAATAAAATTGTAAAATATGGCATTAACTGTTAATTTATAAATCCTAAAAAGCAAGTTGATGCAAATAAAGTAGGAAGGTATGAGAAAGACACGCCTATTAAGGCGTCCACACACCTCGACAACAAGTCGTGTCAATGGCAAAGCACTTATTCCCACTTCAAATCAATACGTCTGTTTGAAAATCACGTGTCGAAGGAAGTGGAAAATTGAGGCTACCTTTCTAGCGTAGGATCCTGCAAAATCCAGTAACTTGTCAATAGAATAGGCCTTGCAACAGCCTTCCACTACACGCTAAACGGAGCATCTGTGAATGGACTGTTGGCTGGAGGTACAGCAAGTCGTGCTTTATTCACCCAGTGCTAGACCACGGAGGGAAATTCAACGGCTGAGCATATAGTTCTCAGAAAGGATTTAAAGAATACCTTGCAGTTCTGGGTTGTTTAAATGTCCAGATTAACGGTAGACAAAATCCATGTTAAAAATCTTCGTGCCTACTACGACGATAATACAGGAACGGAGGTGGAGGAGACTGATGCGATGCTTTACTACAAAACTCAAACTTTCTATTGTAAGATAACAATTGAGCTACCTACCTGTACAGCGGACAAGGATTGGTCCATAGGACTCGTACAGGCATGTGATTTTATGTACCTGGCAAACGATTATGGTGGCCTAGGTAACTCCCTGTGGGAGTTCCATCCGCTCAAAAGTGGCCTTAGAAAGGTGATCAACGACAGCGATGGACGTCAGTATCCATTCTACAGCGTAAATCAAAGTCTCTACAATATCAAGAAGGGTATTGTTCGAAGAACAACGGTGAATCTTCAAATAAAAGACTATTTCCATCCTTCAGTGGTTTGGGAGCTGCCATACTCCAAAGGTGTTCATTTATCCGAAATAAACCGGAAGCAGAAGTTCTTCATCTGGTTGGTAGCCATCAAGTATGGCAAAAAGACATATGGCAAGGACGAAATACACATATTAAAGAAAATTCGGTGGGAGTACAACTTACATATGGAGGTTGACCCGCATATGCCACTGGGGCAGAAAGTGAGAAAAATTTACGACGTACAAGACGGATCCATAATGATGTGCGATTCGAGTCGCAGTCAGAAGCTGCCAGCTGCAGCTACTTATGCACCACACTGTAACGCAGCTCAGTCCCTCATATGGTACCCCAGAGATCCCCTTCGACACTCAAGGATCCTAGTTCCTCCAAAGCAAATCATTGTGCCCTGGGAAACCTGGGTCTATGACATGCTCGGATCTACTGCTCGAATACGCAGACCGATTGATGTCACCGAGATCTCAGAATCCGTCGTCTGTGCATAGACTGTCCGTGGAAGGAGAAGGGCTAAGTGCAATTTGATTCGATAACTGCATTCCAATCACTGATTTCCATAGGATTTCTTTTAAGTACCACTTAGAAACTTATTTTTGAGGTATCTCTGAACTTCTTTCTATTATTTATTTTGAGTTTGGTTCCAAGGGTTGCTTTGCACTTACCTGCATTCTGACTCAGGCAATAAAACGATTTCTGGACTCCTACAACTCCTTCTCCTCCACCAATACCCTCTCATCCCTTGCTCCTCCTTCTTCCATATGTCCGATTGTATCAAGCAGGAGAATGTTGCAACCTTTATACAACAGTCAACCAAACCTCAGGTCTCTTGATGAAATTGGAGGGTCTTGAGTTGGCCAATCACTGCAAAGCATTGTCTATAATTTGTGCGCAATGAATGACTGAATCAAAGTTCGGATGTTTGGAACTCCAGTTCACCATTTCTTTTCAGTGCATAGTAATTCACGCACTCGAGGGACCCCAGCAAAGCATGGTGTTTCGAATGGCAGTAACGCCCAGAAATCTCAGCACTTCATGCAAATTCACAAATAAGCGAAGTGAAAAAATGGACGTTTCTAGTTTGAAACGTACTCTTTAGTGACGTGTACACACCAATCAAAGAACTCCAAATTTCGGATAGACAAAATCTATTGGAATGTGACCCGCCTCCGACGATATTTTTGCGTCAGAATAATGGTACTGAAGGGAACTATCTGGTGTCAATTAAAGATGAGGAATGTGCGCGAGAATATGTCAGTTTAACTAGACGTTAAAACTCTTAATCGTAACAAGAATTGTGCTGGAACCTGTAGTATATACGGATGTACAAGACCCACCAGTTTACATGTAAAAGTATCAAAACCTCCTTTAGTCAACATAATTTTTGGAACCTACATAGGACAAAGAAATTATATTTATAATTTGTAGATGTAAAGTAGTTTAAGTACAAAGTTTTACGCATTGCTAAGCGTGACAGCGCGGAGTATGGTGTTACAAGGCTCACCGAAATACACTGAACTCCTTATTCAAATTATGTATACAAAGGATGAAGGGAAGTATGCAGAAACGCCATTTGCGATTTGTTACTAAGGTTATG